TAGCAATATACCAATATCGACGAATCAAAAAGAAAAGACAGCTTCAGCCTCGGAGTCAAGCTATCGGAGGTTTAGAACAATTTCGGATTTGAAAAGCTGAAATGCAAGCGTCTACATTGGAAATTCAATAAGTGGAACGCGCAGAGATAAGGGCAGGGTAAATCGGACCGATTTTGTCACTGAGCCGATCAGAACATTTGCGACTCCCTGGTGTAAGTCCCGCCTTGATCTCTCCAGCCGATGGGCGAGGGAGGGGGAGGGGAACAATTGTAACCCTCGAAGTCCTGCAGATACTCATCTTTTCAGCGAATTTCTTCCGCCCTTTTGCCACCACGAACTCCCGCTCATCGCGCTGAGGTAAGCTCCCATTCAAAAATTACAACAAAACCCCGTCGTTAACCTGAAATAACGAACGGTTGACTCTGTGCTCAAGTAGAAACGCTTACTGGACTCTTCAACTTAATGCATAAAAAGGAACACTCTCGACCCAATATGTAACCTGTTCCATTTATACCGATACCATAGTAATGACAACTATTCTCATTGATTGCAAGATAGGCCAAGCCATTATTAGTCAACTCGAGTCCCAGCCAGGGTCGGTCCTATCGTTGCTACTTTTCAAAAAGTTTTTACGACCCCCTCTTTCAAAACAATTTTTACCCCAAAAAATTACCGTCGAGCGGGGGGGGGGTATATACTTCCCATAAAACCGCAAAAATTCCCTACATTTCCCCATATTTTACCCATATTTCAACTGCTCCATTTTCTAGGGGGTATATACGCGCGCTGAAACGGCAAATTTTCTCCCGCGCCGCTCCCCACTCATCACATGCAACTTCTTACAACCGAAGCAAGTACGACCCCCCCTCTACAAACTCATCAAAATACGACCCCCCGTTGCTACTTGTAGCAACATAGGGTTGACCCTGGTCCCAGCCACTATTTCCTGCTTTTTTAGATGACAATTAACCATTATATAAGAACATTTGAATAGCAGAGCTGAACTGTACCTGTATGAGGTGGCAGGTCGCAGATTCGTGATACGTGCCTCACACAACCTTCCCTCCCATACCTTCTCGCCAACATCCTCCGATGGCTGGAAATGGAAATGATTCAGAAGATGGCTTATTTTGTTAGATATTTTTTCATTCATATTTGCTGGATTCTTAATCATTGATTGCACTAATTTTTATACTTACCACTTTAATTTTTGGATCTCAAATAAACAAAACTGAGGGACGTTCAATGTCGTGCAGTAGTAAAAATTAGAGTCTCAAGCGAATTTAGCAAGAGAAATTTATGACTGGTGGATGGCCCATGTAGCAAATCAAAGCCATCGCATGTGTCGCCCCTTCGATCCCTCAAAACACATTTGACGAACTCGACGACATTCACAAGCTCACCTTACTGATATACACGGTATAGTTCGATATGCTAGCACCGTTGTCGTTAGGCGGTCGCCATGCAACAACAAGATGATCGATCCCGCGCGAAACACACCTGAATAGATAATAGTGCACTATCGATTAGTCGCTTCTACTGTGACAAAGTTCCGGTACAGTGATCTCTTTAAGAGGGACAAAACCCTTTTTCCGGTGAAGATTAAAATTCTCAGAGAATGGCAAACGGTTGCTACATGCAAGTTCCTTTCCCTTAACTACTCTACAAATGGCTCAAGGAGTTTTTCGTATTTTCGCACTCCGGTTAATTTGCCATTTG